ATGACAGACGAAAGAAGTCATGCTTCCTGGCCTTTCCTAAATAAACAGAAACTGAAGTGACATCATCATCAGAACGTTACAGGTGTCTGTTCACACCTGTTAGGACACCTTTATCTCCCTCTAACAGAACACGTCTTACAGTTTTACCTGTTCAGGTTTTTTACCTGACAGTTTAAAGGTCGAATGCTAATGGAGCATTTAGCATAGCATTGATTTTATGCTACTGTGTTACTGTGTCTTTTTCCTTATTTGGGTCGAAGGTTTAGGCTAGTTCTGTTTATGCAGGACAGATGTCTCCACCTCAGACACATCCATCAGTTGGAGCAGATTATTACCATTTTTCTTACTTTCGCTGCCTCGTAGCCGGACGCTTGTTAGTCTTAGCCTCGCGTTTATTTTATGTAAGTGTTATTTTACGCTTCACTAACAGGGAATCTAAACATGCTGGTCACCAATGAAAAAACAATCCATAAAACAAGTTTATGGATGTTTTTTTTATATAAGAGTTTTCAAAAAGTTCTCTTTAAACCCGGACTTATTGTCAGTCATCTATTTTCTTCCATTTATCCAGTTCAGGGTTCAGGGAGATCCCAGCAGTCATAGGGCAAGAAGCTGGGTGCACCCTGGGTGCTAAACAATAATTTAAAGTAAATCAAAAAGAAGAAAAGTCATTCACAAATTTAAAATACTTAAATGGACAAAAGAGTACATCAAATTAAATTAAAAACAATCAGCTAGTAAAGAAAAAAACCCCAAATAAATAGAATAAAGACAGTTCGACCAATATATTCGCCAATATTAACTGACTGCCAGTCTTGCCGTATCGGTTTTAATAATTGCTGATGACTGAAAATGAAAAATGTAAGTAGAGACTGTAGAAACACCCTTCAAACCTGTTACAAGCGATGCTGCATAGTTTGCCCACCAGAGGGCGCTGTGCAACTTCCCAGCTGGCAACTCTTGTTTGGAGCAAACAACAACCAGCTGGTCGGAGTAAACAAGTAATCCACAAATTCTTTAAACTGCATTACCATTTTACATTAAGGGCTTACAAATGATTACACATAACAAATGTTGGCGATATGTTTTACGCTAAATATTGGCCCATATATCTGACTTTGAATGAGTTAAATATTATTGGTACTGGCCTTAAAAATCCTGCATCGGTCAGCCAGATAAAATGTCACAAAAAAGGCAGAATCATCTTAAATAGAATCAAATCCAAAGAAATGGATGTAATAATGCAGTAACAGGAAAAAAGTGACATTTTTAACAAAAAACATTTTGCAGCTCTGGCAGTGCTCATCCTGTTGCTCCTCGCACAAAGGAGACATGAGCCCTGCTGATGGGTTTAGGACCTTCTCCCGCCCTGTCCAGCTCTCCTAGAGTAACTGCCCATCTCCAGGAGTCTCCTCCATGCTCCTGAGACTGTGCTGGGAGGCACACCTGTTAATGACATGTGGAGATGGACTACCTGTGTAACCCCTGTAGGGTCCAGGTATCGCCTTATGCTATCAGTAGCTACACTGACACTTCCCAAATGCAAAACTAGTGAAAAAGAAGTCACATAATGTTAGCTGGGAGAAAATGTGAGTGGGCTCCAGCTGTGAAATCATTCCTGTTTTGGGGGTTCCCATTGTTGCCCATCTAGTGCAGCTGAAACTGCTGCTTAAGTCAGTATCCCAGAGGTTTGATGCCCTTCTCTGATTATTTTTTAATAATACATGTTCATTAAGAGGAATTTTAACCTCTGTTTATTTACTGCAATGTCTCCTTTTTGTCTTATCAGAAGAAAAGCAAAGGCAAGAAACGAGAGAAGACTCAGAAGGCGAACATCCGCCAGGATGATGAAGGTGAGTATATTTTGTGCTGCAGACTGTGGTTTCCTCTTCACTCTTCTTTCACTTCCTGTTTGCTTCTCTTGTTTTTCTGAACCTAATGTCATGAGAATCAGTCTGACTGATGATGAGAGGTTTCACTTTCACTCTGCTGTAATGCGTAGAGTCATACTTCATATTTTAGGAGTACAAAGACTCCTTTTTTTCTGAGGAAAAAGGACCGACCTCTTCCTCTCTGAGTGATGTCACAGAATTGTTTCTATAGAAGTTCTCGTTTCTGTTTTTGGTGGTGGGATAAATGCATGTGTGATAATTACGGCGTGTTCTCCGTAAATGGGCTGGTATTTAGATGGTGACACAGATTTTTGTAATTCTGCTTCTGTACACTTCCAGTGAAAATAAGCAGCGGATATATGACTGGTTTCATCCTCTTTTTTTCTAAAAAAAAAAAAATAAATAAGGTTCGCTTAGAAAGAGGGTAAGGAACTTGGTCATTCGGGAGGAGGTCAGAGTAGATGCCATGCTCACCTGTACTGAGCAGTGTTTTGGGCTTGTCCCCAGGCCACAGCCAGGACACTCCTGGAACGGGAAAACCTTCGAGTCACCTCAGAACTTGCTGGAAA